GACCCTGTGTAGATGACTAGAATACACACCTGTTACCTACCGATCCTCTGACTTTAAAGGGTGAAGGAAAGTATGCCTCACGGGAGTATGCACCAAAGGATACACTTTGTGTCCCCCCCCTGTATCACCCCACCCTCTGATCTACCCTGGAGTCCTCTGAGCTATTGCCATGGAGAACTCTATGCTTTCTAACGCTCGTCTTCACTGCCTCTATCTCTCTGTGATTCTCGTCACTTAATGTTTGTGTTGTCTTACTATCTGTCTTCGTTTACTTGATGGTATTACCGTTACTGCATACTCAACTTTTAGCCTATTGGGTTTGGGTTACCAAACTGAAGGACCGATCGATCTGCCTACCCATTTAGTTGTAATATGCATGTTAACATCTCAGTATTGATCTATTGATGTATTATGCGGGACTTAACAACATGGTCCTTATTGTACCCTATCGGATTGTTATGCGCCATTCCGCTTGGATGATGTGATATGTATTATCACACTGTATGTCTTTTACTTTTTCTTATATTCAATAAAAAAAATGTAATGGAAAAAAAAAATAAAGGTGAAACGGGTAATCCCATTTGTAGGTAGCTCCGCACTCGCGAATCCTCTCCAACAGTGGACGGAGAAGACGTCTCATCAGTAACGTATTCCTGGAGATGTCCGGGAACAAGTGGATCTGGGCTCTGTCAAAATCCAGGGTGCCCTTACGCCAGGCCTGAGTCATGATCTCTTCCTTTTTGGTGTAATGATGGACTCTGCAGATGACATCTCTAGGGCGAGTTACGTCAGCAAATGGGGGACCTAGCAACCTGTGAGCCCTGTCTAGTTCAATTGTGATACCGGGAGGGTTGTCCAGGTAGAGATTGAAAATCCCGCATACAGTCACTTTGAGATCCGCTGCCATAGTTGCTTCCGGAATCCCACGGATGGGGATATTATTCCGCCGACCCCGATTGTCATGGTAGTCTGCTGAGAGCATTACTTGAAGTATCTGTTGTTGGTGTTGCATCTGTGAGCATTCCAAGAGGGTAACCCTTTACCCATCAGTTTAGAGGTAAAGGTCGCAATTTGTTGTCCGATTTCAGCCACATCCTGCTTGTATACAGATTCGATGCGGACAGTGAACGCCTCAAAGTCTGCCTTGGTGGGGATGAGCGCTGCAATGTCTGCCCTTGTCAACAGGGCATTAAGCAGGGACCTGAGATCAGCGCCCATAGGTGGACTAGTGCGTGATGCCTGGGTGTTCCAAAAGGAGCACTTCTGACAGCTGAAGCTTAGGAGAGGCTGAGCGCCATGACCCTAAGGAGCTCTTTTCTCCCGACAGAGCAGGGGGTAATGTTCATGAAAGCAGAGGCGGCAATTCAGCAGGGGGGGCTAGGGCCAGATGTCTGGGAGTACGAGGCGGCAATGGAGCAGAGCTAGGCTCAGGATCACCCCGTACTAGGTGAAAGAGCCGCAACCGTTGAGCAGGGTTACCCCTATCAGAACCCTTTAACCCTTTCGCTGCCAAGGACGTACGGCATACGGAGCTACAAAAGTGCTACTCCCGTCTCTTGGATGCGGGTTTGCATCTTTAGATGTCCTTCGTGCCCGCACGAGCGGGAAACCACCAGGATTTTAAACGGCCAGTGATGGCCGTTTACATACAAGTGGTCCGGCGTCTGTACAGACGCCTGATCGCTTGTATGATGCAAGTCAGGGTGCCCCCCCTCCCCCTTACCTCTCCTCGCCGCCGTCCCACGATCCCGGGCGTCCATCCATCCCGGGCGATGTGACTGTGCACTGAGAACAGAGGGAGATCAGTACACAATCTCCCTCCGCTCTAATCCCTGGTGTCTGAATGCAGGAAGTGATGTATATTATATCACTTCCGCATTCCTCTGTCACTCTCCGGTACAGTAAATGGAGAGAAGCTGATGAAGCAGATCTGTGCTTCATCAGCTTCTCTGGGGGTCCATAGGTGACATTAGGGGGTCTTAAGAGACCCCTGATGCCTCTATAAAAGGGGACCTGCCACTGTAATTTATCACATAGGGGACTTCTTAGCTCCCCTATGTGATAACAATAAAGTTAAGTGTAAAAAAAGAAAAAAAGAAAATAAAAAAACAATAGTTGCTCACAAAATAAATAAAATGTACACACACACTAAAAATTTTAATTTTTTTTTAAAGACCCCCAACCCCACATAGATGGGGATGGGGGACTTTACGCAAAAACGACGATTGCTCCAATTACGCCGCACGTTACATATTGCCCCGAACGTCGCAGTGAGAGCAATCATTTTAGGGTCATCAATCACTGATAACACTAAACTGATGAGCAGTAAAATCTTTTAAAACGTCCACCTTTGGCCAATTTTGGCTATGGTAGATTTTTGCGATTTCGCGGGCGCGCGTAATTTTCAGGCTTGACATGTTTGGTGTCTATTTACCCGACGTGACCCCCATCTTTTATATTTTACCAAAAAAATGGGTAATAAATGTTTCCTAACATAATAAAGGGAAAACAGTTTTTTTATTTTTATATTCGGTATAAAATTCATTTCAGTACAGCGTTGCATGACTGAATAAAAGTCAAAGTACCGCAGCGCTGAAAACTAAAAAACGGCCTGGTCAGGGAGGGGGTTTAAACACCCCGGTCAGCAAGTGGTTAACAGAGGCCGGTGCTTCTCCGGCCTGTAGCACAAAGGGCAGGGGAGGAGCGCTCACCTTAGTCACAGATGAAGGGATCTGCTGCAGCATGGCTAGGGATGCATCTGAGGCAGGCAATGGAGAAGGCGGCCGTTCGTCTGTCAAAGACCGGCTGCTGTCAGCTGAGTGCAGAGAGAGAGCACAACTCGTGTAGCTTTGCCCGTCCAGAACTATGGCTGCACAGGCTGGTCCTGGCTCCTTGACATCGAAGCAGTGCACTGCTAGCTTGGATATGTGTGCAGCCCAGTGAGATCGCTGGCCGCGGAGAGGCCATAGAGAGGAAATAACTCTTCAAAAATGTCCGCCCGCCCTAGCCTGTGTGTCCGCTAAATCACTACAAGCTACAAGTAAATGGCAGGTGCATATGGCCTGTAGCCTGTAGGAAAGCACTGTAACAGGCCACTAAGGACCACCAAACATATGCATTCCCCAGGGCAAGCATCTTGTGCATGCTGTACTTTAGGCAGGACTGTCATAGTATAAATGTATCTAGGTTATCAATGGTCCACATGCACTCGACGGCTGGACTGGAGAGACTACAAGGATCTAGGATATACAGCAGAGGGTGATGATGGCCCCTAGATTGCTTTATGTATACCTAGCATCCTTCCACTGCAGATGCAAGTATAAACCCACATGTCTAACTTAACTGTGTGTCGTACTTAATTTTGTACTTGCAAAATTAACCTCTCAGGAAGATTTTTGTCCATGCCTGATGACCAAAAATGAATATGGAATCTTGTCTGTGGACTTGCCTTGTGTTACTGCTCCACTGTGGATGTATCTGCTAGCAGGAACTACCCTTTTAGGTTAATCTCTCACAATGGTCAAAAACAATAGGTTTGTGGAGAATTAAAGTTATAAGAATAGGATAGGGCAGATGAGAAATGGTGTGATACTGGAAGTTTGTATGAGCATAATCATTGTTATCCAGAATGTTCAATGTATTTATTTCAGGTAAATGGGGTAATGATTAGAAGCCCAACAGCTGAAAAATTAGGCCAGCAGTTCCAGCACCCACACCCAACCAAAGCAGGTTATATAACACCATTTAAAATGGCACTAAAACTAAAATGGTTAAAGTGTATCTAATCCCAAAAAATAATGTAAAATATTGCACATAACTAGACAAGGTGTCCATGTTAGTTTTTTTTTCTGGCCTTCATCTTTTATTTTAACCTGGTAATTCTGCTCATAAGATAATAACACACTTACGGTCCCTGGGTGGATACTCTCGCTCCAACACTATCTATAGAGGGAGCCATGGTTGCAACCTAGGCTGAACTTAAAACAAGTCTGCCTTTGTTCATTTTTAGTGCATGAAGTTGATATAAATAGTAGGTCACAAAAGATGATAACTGAGATGAGAACAAAAGATGAGTAGCTTACAGTTTATTTTACAAAAGTGACAACACTGCAATTTAGCATAATCAATACGTATTTTCTATATTTACTAAAAGTGTTCTTGACCTGAAAAATCAACTAATATAGCCACCACATCCAATTACTGGTAAGCTGTAGTATATGAAATGATTGTTAGTGGGGTTAGTTATACTTTAATATCAATTTACAATGTTAGATTACTGTAATCCATTAGACTTATTATTGCAAGCTTCTTCTTTCCATGATTTGCACTATTCTGGGCCTATTCTAGATCTGTCACACCATTATAATAATCAAATACACATAAGCAGGTATACAAGTGACCAAGAGGAGGAGGCAATATCTACACTGTGGATTTAGTGCTCCAGATATTCCCCTACTGATTGCAAACTGTGAGTGGGCGACCTAGGAGCAAATCAACACCTATATTTTTTTTGCACATCACTGACTTTTTTTTTATATATAACATCGGGTCTTTGCTGTATATATTTGATGCTGTATATATTTGATGCTGTATATATTTGATGCTTTGCTGCTATCCTAGTCTAATGATTAAATTGAACATTTGTGCAATGAGATTACAGTCTACACTCACCCAATTGCTGGAGAAAATAAAAAAACAAAAAACTTGAAATGGTTACAGAACTTTTAGTTTTAGTTACATTACTTTCTTGTGACAACCGAATGCGAGTGGATGCATAATCTTTTGGGTCGCTTACCACCAAAGTAAGCTTAAAATACTTTTTAAAACAACTGCTTTCCAAATCCAAAACAGATCGAATCTATGGGTAAAGTGCACTATAGTTGTAGAGAAAAAAAAAACCCTTAAAGAACCACTTTTCAAATAACTGTGTCACAAATGTTAAGTAACATTTAGAATTATATCTTTAACATATTACTTAAACATTAAACCAAATACCTCACCTGTTGAACATCTTGTTGAAAAACACATAGTTGTAATCTTTGATGTAAACGAACTTTCCGATGTTGCCAAATATTCTCTAGCTGTCTCTGATGGTGCAGAACTTCATGAATAACATCCAGGACATGATGCACAGCCTTAGAGTAATTAGCTGAAGCAGTTAAGGAATCAGAGCTACTAGGAGATAAAGGGCGCTGAAGTTTGTCAAGCAGTGATTTTCCATCTTGGCTAACCTGTCAAAAACATTTTGCAAGGGATTAAACTAATGCAAGAAAACGAATATCAGATGTAAATTAAACATGCACAGGATATTTACGTCTGCAAAAAAAAAAGTAAAAATATTACCAACATGTTTGCCTAAATAAGCAGAAAAAGCAAAGACCTTCAACAACAATTACTCTTATAAAATTAATAAAATTATCATTTAAAATCAAATAAAACATCTTACCATCCTACAGGACTGTGTTTAAAGCCTACCATAACCAATTATATGGTTATAGTCATCAACCTGTAGTAAATATGATGACAAATTTGCAGTAAGGAAGATCTGTACACTACTTCTAAGTGACTGACTCTGAAAAAGAACGCCAATGAAGAGTTCCAACTTCAGTTTAAATATGTAAACAGCTATCCCTCTCTACCATCACATAAAGGAGCTAAAAAGGACCTATGCTAGAATCACACACTCCAAAAGGGCAATGTCAAACAATCCCAGCCACATTCTTGGGACAGTAATAAAATAACATAGCAAACTACTACCCCCTATCCATGATAGCCAATATTTCTGATTCTTT